AAAAAAAAAAAAAAAAAAAAAAAACTGTAGTATGCTTTTTTATAACTGTTTATTGTTGTTGCTGTTGTCCTTTGTTGTCATCTTTCTTTGTTGAAATCAGGTCTCTTGTAAATGAGTCCTGGAGGCTCAATGGGATTTACCTGTAGAAATAAAGGTTGATTGATAAAGAGAAACTGGATGGCTTCTTATCTTCTGCTGACTCCAAGCAAATATGACAAGGCCTGCAACACATGACAGATTACATAACCTCCACAGCACCATCAGCTGTACAAACAACCTGCTAGATCACCTCAGCACCTTCTACACCTGCTTTTAGATCTGCTACAACAGAGAGGGCAAGCACACATACAGCTTGACCACCCAACCCCCCACTTGTATTAAGAAAGTACATACAGGTTACAGGGCACTTACAGGGTACCTAAATGGTAGTTATGGGAGTACAAGTTAATTACAATCTACTTATAGGGTGTACCTTTTCTGTATTTACAAAGTATTTACTGGGTACTTACAAGGTACTTACTGGGGTACATACAAGATAATTACAGAGTAAGCTCAAGGTACATATGTGGGCATTTACCAGTGTAATTTCAGGGTACTTAAGGGGAACTTCCAAGGAACCTACAGCAAACAGGTTGTATTATGAAGTACCTTCTCTGTTCTTGTTCAGCAAAAGCCCTGGTTACTAAATTAACAATAAATGTTGGATAAAAAGTGCAAGACATGTAAAATGACAAATAGAAAAATTGTACACATACCATTCTATTTTATCTTCTCGAAAGTTGACTGGCAAAAATATGGAAGCATCACTTTTTAAAGAAAGACTGGTGGGACTGGTTGACTGATGCTCACTCTTCTGTGGGCTACAAGAGGAGATTATTTTATTTACTGATATCAACTCTGGTAAATGAACACACATTTAGGACAAAACTCAATGCCAGTAAATAGAAAAGCATTCAACCAAAACAGGAAATATATATTTTTCTTCTTCTTCTTTCGGCTTTTCCCTCTTCATGGATCTCCACAGCGAATCATCCTCCTCCATCTCACTCTGTCTGCAACTTCTGTCCTCACTCCAACTACCTCCATGTCCTCTCTAACTGCATCCATATATCTCCTCTTTGTCTTTTTCCTGGGAGTTGCATTTCTAACATCCTTCTACCAATATACCCACTGTCCCTCCTCCTCCCTCTCATTCACACACATGTACTCTGTCTTACTACGGCTGACTTTCGTTCCTCTTCCTTCAAGTCTATATCTCCACCTCTCCAAGTTCTCTTCCACCTGTTCCCTGTCCTCACCACAGATCACAATATCATCTGCAAGCATCATAGTCCACGGGGATTCCTGCCTGACCTCATCTGTTAGTCGGTCCATCGCCAGAGCAAACAAGAAGGGGCTCAGAGCCGATCCTTGATGCACTCCCACCGCCACCTTGAAGCTATCTGTCACTCCTACAGCCCATCTCACCACTGTCCTGCTGTCCTCATCCATGTCCTGCTGTCCTCATACATGTACTGCTGTCCTCATACATGTCCTGAACCAGTTTAACTTATTTCTCTGCCACTCCAGATTTCCTCATGTAACACCACACCTCCTCCCTCGGCACTCTGTCAGATGTTTTTTCTAAATCCACAAAGACACAATGGAGTTCTTTAATTCCTCTGTAGTTGCTACAACTCTGTACATCACCATTGTTCTTAAAAATGGCCACCAGCACACTTCTTCTCCATTCCTCAGGCATTTTCTCACCCTCAAATATGCCTTTTAGTAAATGAGTCAAAAACCTCACTGCCATCTCTCCAAGACATTTCCAAACCTCCACTGGTCATCAGGTCCTACTGCCTTCCTCTTCTTCATTCTTTTCAGAGCTTTCCGGACTTCACCCTCACTAATCTTTCCCACTTCCTGGTCCACAGTTTCTTTGACCTCTACTCTTCTTTCTCTTTCATTCTCTCCATTCATTAGCTCCTCAAAGTTCTCCTTCCATCTTCCTGTCACACTCTTCTTATCTCCTTATCTTCCTGTCTCCTCTCTTCAGTCCTCTCTCTGTCATATTTCTTCTTGGCTAACCTCTTTCTTTGAACAGCTTCATGCACTTCACTATTCCACCACCAGGTTTCATTATCATCCATGCTCTGTCCAGATGACACACCAAGTACCTTCCTACCTGTCTCTCTAATTGGGGACTGCTTGAAGGTAGCCACCATCCACCTGCAAAGGGCCTTGCTCTTCTATCAACTTTAATGCGGCCCTAACAGCAATGTGTATCCCCACAAATCTTATACCAAAATGACCGTCTCGGCACTGTGATGTCTGCTATTACTTTTTGGAGCCATTTTGGTTCAAGATGGCTGCCACAGCTACCTCAGAAAACTCTAAATTGACTATAACTCAGTCATTCTTTGAGATATTGAGCTGAAATTTGGTACGGTCGTAGCTGAGAGCGAGTAGTTTTACATTCCTGATGCAAATTAAAAATCCAAGATGGCCACCTTAGCTAAAAAGGAAAACAAAATATGATAACTCAGCAATTTTAAAAGATAATGAGCTGAAATTTGGTGTGGGTGTACTTGACAGTGATGCACAACACATTCTGAATTCAAATCAGATGTAACCTGGTGTGTGTGTGTGTGCGTGTGTGTGCGTGTGTGTGTGCGTGTGTGTGCGTGCGAAGTATCACAGGTTGTTGCGTTCTCTGTTCATCATGTTTTACCTGACTGATGGTTCTGATGAGCTGTCAGGCGATGTGTTGGAAGTTGGAGATCTCTTCCTCTTCTTCGTATCAGACATGATTGCTGCTGGTCAAAAACAACAAACAGATCACTTTATTATTCTAATTTTACACCAACCGATTTTAAGTGCAGGTTCAAACAGAGACACGTACTGATGAACGTCTTTTACAGAGTCTGTACATAGTATACTTTCATACTAGTATTACAGTACTAGTATGACTACAGTAAATAGTAACATAATGCAAAAGTGATGCTAATGCATCTGCAGTGAAGATTATTTATTAAGTGTAACGACGGATCCAGGCGAGGCAGGAGATCCAGACGTGGTGTAGAAAACAACAATATTCCACTGATAATGATCTGGAACGGAGGGAATAAAAAGGCTGGAGGCTGATGAGGGAAGTGGATGCAGCTGTGGCAGGTGTAGGTGGGCGTGGCGGGCTGACTGGAAAAACACTGACTGAAGGAGAAGGGCCGGCTGGCACAAAAGACACAGAGACAACTTTAATGAGGACAGAAGTAACAGAACAAAACACAGAAAATAAAATATAAACTACTGAAAACGGATCAAAGATCTCAGATCCTGGCGTTGCTAATTTTGTTGTGCAATCTGTCGTCGATCAGATAATTGTTGAACTGTCCTGATGCACGTTCTGTAATCCTAAATAAATCTAACAAGGTTGAGTCAGGACCTCTGAACGGGTTCGGACTTGTTTTTTGTTGACCACAAAGAAGAACCCGTCCGGATGTCCTGACTCAAACTGGTGAATTATGTTTTGACTGATTGCTAAAGAAAAACTGCCAGTTCTTCCACTTCCTCATAAAATCTCAACTTCCTGGGTTTTTTTCAGAGAACCGTAACTGAAACGTTTCAACACTTTCACTTCACAGGCCTCATATTTACAGGTCCTTCTCAAAAAATTAGCATATTGTGATAAAGGTCATTATTTTCCATAATGTAATGATAAAAATGAAACTTTCATATATTTCAGATTCATTGCACACCAACTGAAATATTTCAGGTCTTTAATTGTTTTAATCCTGATGATTATGGCATACAGCTCATGAAAACCCAAAATGCCTGTCCCAAAAAATTAGCATATCATGAAAAGGTTCTCTAAACAAGCTATTAACCTAACCATCTGAATCAACGACGTAACTCTAAACACCTGCAAAAGATTCCTGAGGCTTTTAAAAACTCCCAGCCTTGTTCATTACTCAAAACCGCAATCATGGGTAAGACTGCCGACCTGACTGCTGTCCAGAAGGCCATCATTGACACCCTCAAGCAAGAGGGTAAGACACAGAAAGAAATTGCTGAAGGAATAGGCTGTTCCCAGAGTGCTGTATCAAGGCACCTCAGTGGGAAGTCTGTGGGAAGGGAAAAGTGTGGCAGAAAACGCTGCACAACGACAAGAGGTGACCGGACCCTGAGGAGGATTGTGGAGAAGGGCCGATTCCAGACCTTGGGGGACCTGCGGAAGCAGTGGACTGAGTCTGGAGTA